TCTTCAAAACTAAGTATTTTTCTTTCCTGTATACAGATACATATATAATATTCTACAGATTCCCAACACTTCGTATACAACTTTGGTTGTGCCGTATTTCTATCAAAAATACAGAAATTGGTTTTCGCTGGGTACCTGATCATGATGTTGCTCAGGGTAACGAGCAGGGAGAGACTGCAGCACTGCCAGCGGTACACGACCTTCCAGTTTCATATAGATTTTATTCCACTCTCAGATTATTTTGCTATAATCTCTAGCCACCTTCGAACCGTTGGTAACAACGTTGGTCTGACGTGATTCATAACAAATTACATTCTACCAAGTCGACTTTAGAAACCTACACCGGGGGGTGGCATGGACCTGCTTCGCATGGGTCAGTAGGCCTGTTGCAGTGTTCCTTCTTTCTTATGTTCTCATGTTCTTATCGTCGATGTCGTGGTTGAGAGACGACACTTTCCCGTCTATGCATCAGGCACGATGGAACTATCAGACACACACGTGACACTAATGGGTATCTCATGGAGAGGCGTTTCAGTTCCACTCTGTAAGAACTGCCATATTCTGTTTGACTGTCTAGTCTATTAGTAAGCACGAAGAATTTAGCTTCGACGTCGTCACTGCTCTAACACACTTTATCTTCCCCCCTCAATGACGCTCGACCTTTGACACTGACTCCCTTTTCGACTTTCTGTACAGCATCAAATTTATTACACAACTTTTGATTATACTTTACCACTCCTCATTGTCCTTACTAACTCTACCTTGCAGCGTTGTATGACCTTGGTGGTTTAGTACTTTTTTTTTGATTATTATAATAATTCTAGTACACTATTTTGCATAGGGGTATGCCATTTAAATGTCAAACCACTAAAAGCAGGGAGCAGAACGTTAAGGAAGGTGAGGTCAGCAGCTGACAGCCGACCCATTCTGGGGGCTCTTTAACTGAAATTTCCTCATTTTTGGGTTCGTTGCAGACAGCCAGAGTTCACTATGCACCAGAGAGGATAACACACATTTAGTGGAGCTTTCGTATAACTATATTTTTGTGCTGGGCCCTTTAGGAAGTTCTCGAATTTTGTTTGAGTCTCGTCTATCAGACACAATTTACTGAGAAGAGAACAATGCCAGAAGCTTGATTTACTCTTTCACTGGTATAAACCTTGGAATAATAGACAATTGGAGAAAAATAACCCCTTCAATTTATTAAAATTCCTTTGTATTATATAAAATTATTTAAAAATATTATTATTTTCTTATTTTTTTAATTTTTTTTATTATTATAATTTAGAAAAATTTACAGAAATAATTAATTAAATTTTAAAATTAATTTATTATTAAAAACTGTTTTTAAATATTAAAAGTTTTAAAACCATATGGATCATACAGCTGTAACTTTGCAGCCGATCAAGAGATGTACTCTCAAATACGGTGAAACAAAAACAAACCTAGGTAACCACAAGAGTTTTCTAGTTAGAGAAGACTTTATATTACATTTCAAAATTTCAGACATGAAGAGCTGCTTCTGTACCTTTAAACTGACAATCGCAAGTAATCGCAGAAAGGTAAAGTTTACCTCCCCTGGCCGGGCAATGTTGTGGTAGCCGGCGTTGGGGACGATGCGTGTGACTGGGTGGTGAGTTCGTCGACCTCAGTCTGTGCCTCCTCCTCAAGGAGGACCTGGCGGCGACGGCGGACCTGGAGGGTGTCTGGAAGGTAGTGTGAAAAAGGTGGTTATGCCTTTTTTTTAGTGTTTATTGAGGGTCAGTACCTTTGTAGTGTGAAGAGGTGGTTATTTTCTATGGTTGAAACAAAATCATTTTCACATCGTTCACCGAACGACCGAATGGAAAATGGAAATTTACGAAACAATTCAGTGGACTGACCTAGTACATTGTTGACAAGTGTGAAGCCGAAGTACAGAACAAGCTTTACTTGGACAACGTTTTTACCCTGTGTTGAGCTTTATACTAATCATGACTTGATAGAGCGAAATGTTATTCTAGTAAAAGATTATTCAACACCTATCTTTGTCTCAACACATTTCAGGCTGTAACCGAAAATAAATGTAAGTTATCATCTTACCTGACCATCTGGTGGTAGTGTCGTTGATGGTAAAGAAGACATCAGTGGCAGAGGTAATGTTGTTAAAAGAAGTAGCAGTGGTGGTGGTGCTAGTAGCAGAGGTAATGTCGTCAAAAGTAGTATCAGTGGAGGCGGCAGATGGGAAGACAGTGGATCTCCTGACGACGGCTGGCTGAAGCGAGCTGGAAGGCTTGAAACAAGTGTGAATTAGTATCTATTCTGAGCTACCACTTGATCTTTTGGTGGCAAAACATATGAACTGTTACTTGGGTATGAACCTTGGGTTTTAAAAGTTGCAATAAGGAGGTTAGGAACAGTGGAAATGTCGTGCTTAAGAGCAGTTTTGTGATGTGAATATTAAGCAGAGAATTCGAAGCTAGAGACTAGAAGGTTTTGGGGTTACTAAATTATAAATTTGAAAGGTTGTAGAGGAATTGTTAAAGTAGATAGGGTATTTAAGAGGAGGGAGTTAAAAAGGATAACTGGGGGGTAAGGGTTGTCAAAGGATTTGGGCAGTGAGGCTAAAGATGTTTTAAATGCTTGGGCTTGAGCATCCAACAGGCCTATTGAGCATGTTAAAATCGGACTATGGGCAAGGCTTTTCATGACATGACATGCTGTTGGAGTGTGAGCAAGGAAATAATTTAATAAAGAGATTCAAATAAATTTGTTGACCAGACTTGATCCTGCAGGTTGCTTGTACTCTGAGGTAGGGATGGGGTGTTTCAGTTAGGACTGTGATCATACTGTGATTCAACAGCCTCTGGAAACACAGCTATTGAATGATTGACGGTGAATGTGTTTCCTCTTTTTGGGGGGGTCACCCCACCTCGGTAGAAGACGACCGGTATACAATAAAACGGAACTGTAAAGTTAGATTCGTCACATTTACATTACGTAAAGACAGTAATAATGACAGTGGTATCAGTAAGGTGTGTAATAAAGTAGTAGTAGTAGTAGTAGTGGTGGGAGTAGTAGTAGTAGTATAATAATATATGGTGTTGTGTGGTGGTAGTGGTGAGTAGTAGTAGTGGAGGTGTGGTGGTGGGGGTGGTAGTATAGTTGTATAGTAGTAGTGGTAGTATAAGTAGTTGGTGTGGGGGAGGTGTGGTGTGGTAAGTAGAGCATGGGCGGTGGTAGATAGTATTAGTATATTTAGTAATAGTAATAGTGGTGGGTGGGTGGTGGTGGGAGAGTAGTAGTATGGTGGTAGTAAGTAGTAGTATAGTAGTAGTAGTAGTAGTAGTATATAATATAGTAGTGTGGTGGGGTGGTGGTTAGTAGTAGTAGTATATGGGGTGTGGGGGTGGTAGGAGTAGTATAGTGGTGTGTATAGTAGTATAGTAGTAGTAGTAATAATAGATGTGGTGGTGTGGGTAGAGTAGGAGGTAGTAGTAGTAAATAATAGTATGCTGGTGTGGTGGTGGTGGGGTATATTAGTAGTGTGTATAGGAATAGTATAAGTAGTAGAATAAATAGTAGGGGGTGTTGGTAGGAGTAGTAGTGTGGTGGTGTGGTAGTAGTAGTATATAGTAGTATGGTAAATATATGGTGTGTGTGGGTGGTGTATATAGCAGTGGTGGTGGGGGAGTAGTAGGAGTATAGTAGAGTTTAGTGTGGTGGTTGGTGGGGGGGGGGTGTGGTGGTTGGGTTGTTGATGGATGATATTAGGATAGTGGTGGTGGGTGGTGTGGGGGGGGGGGGGGAGGTGGATTGTTGTATAATGTGTGTTGTGGTAGTAGTATAGTAGTATAGTAGGGGGGTGGGGGTGTTGGGGTAGTGGGTGGTATTGTTATAGTTATAATTGTTGTGGTGGTGGTGGTGTAGTGGTGTAGGAGAGGTTGTTAGGTGGTGGTGTTTATTAGATGTAGTGTTGATATAGTAGGAGGAGTTGGAGTGGTTTAGAATATATAGTAGCAGTAGTAGTAAACAGTATATAGAAGAATTCTAGTAAAGCAGTAAAAGTAGATGCATAGTAGTAAAGCATATTAGTAGAAGCAGTAGTATAGAAAAGTAGTAGTAGAAGCATAGTAGTAGAAGCAGTAGATAGAAGCAGTAGTAGTAGAAGCATATAGTAGAAGCATAAGTATAGAAGCAGTAATAAAAAAAGTTAGAATCATATAGTAGAACAGTAGTATAGAAGCAGTATAGTAGCAGCATATAGTAAACAGAAGTAGTAGAACATAGTTGTAAATGAGTAGTAGTAATAGCACACAGTAGAGCATAGTAGTAAAGCAGTAGTATAGAAAACAGTAGTAGTAATAGCAGAGTATAAGAAAACATAGTAAAGCAGTAGTAGTAGAAGCATGTATAGAATCAGTATAGTAAAGCAGTAGTATAATAGCAGTAGAAGGTAGAACAGTAGTAATAAAGCAGTAGTATAGAAGCATTAGTAGTACACAGTAGTAGTAGAAGCTGTAGTAGTATAAGCATAGAAGTAAAGCATAGGAGTAGAAGCAGTATTATAAAGACATAGTAGTCGAAGCAAGTCTAGTAGTAGCAGATAGTAGAACAGTAGTAGTAAACCAGAAGAAGTAGTACAAGTATAGTAGCAGTAGTAGTAAAGCAGTAGTAGTAATAGATATAGTAGAAGCAGTAGTAGTAGAAGCAGTAAGCAGTAGAAGCAGTAGTAGTCGAAGCAGTAGTAGTAGTACAGTAGTAGTAGAAGCAGTAGTTAAGTAGAACCAGTAGTAGTAGTAGCACGTAGAAACAGTAATAGAGTAGCAGTAAGTAAGTAGTCAATAAAGTAGAAGCAGTAGTAGTATAGCAGTAGTAGTAGAAGCAGCAGTAGTAGAAGCAGTAGTAGTAAACCGTAGTATAGAAGCGTAGTAGTAGTACAGTATATAAAAGCATAGCAGTAAAGCAGTAGTATATACAGAGTAATAGAAGCATTAGTAGTAGTATGCATAGTAGTAGTAGCAGTAGTAGTAAAGGCAGTAGTAGCAGTAGTAGTAGAAGCAGGTAAATTAGAAGCAGTATTAGTAAGAAGCTAGTAGTAGTAGAAGCAGTAGTAGTATAGCAGTAGTAGCAGAAGCAGTAGTAGTAGAAGCAGTAGGAGTAGAGCATATAGTAGAAGCAGTAGTAGTAGAACATTATTAGTAGAAGGAGTAGTAGTAAAGCATAGTATAAAGCCAGTAGTAGTATAGCATATAGTAGAACAGTAGTATAGAACATAAGTAGAAGCATAGTAGAGAAGCTTAGTAGTAGAAGCAGTAGTAGTAGAAGCAGTAGTATAGAAGCAGTAGTATAGAAGCAATATAGTAACGCAGGTAGTATAGAAGCAAAGTAGAAAAGAGTAAAAAAGTAATAAGCAGTAAGTAGTAGAAGCAGAAGTAGTAGAAGCAGTAGTAGTAGATGCAGTATAGTAATACATAGTAGAGAACAGTAGTAGAAGAAGCATAGTAGTAGAAAAGCAGTAGTAGTAATAGCATATCGAGTAAAAGCAGTAAACATAAGCATAGTAGTAGAGCAGGTATAGTAGAAGCAGTAGTAGTAGAAGCAGTAGTAGTAGAAGCAGTAGTAGTAGAAGCAGTAGTAGTAGAAGCAGTAGTAGTAGTAGCAGTAGTAGTAGAAGCAGTAGTAGTAGTAGCAGTAGTAGTAGAAGCAGTAGTAGTAGAAGCAGTAGTAGTAGAAGCAGTAGTAGAAGAAGCAGTAGTAGTAGTAGCAGTAGTAGTAGTAGCAGTAGTAGTAGTAGCAGTAGTAGTAATAGCAGTATAGTAGTACATAGAATAGAAGTCAGTAGTAGTAGATCAGTAGTATATACAATAGTAGAAAGCAGTAGTATTAAAAGCAGTAGTAGTGGAAGCAAGTAGTAGTATACAGTAGTAGTAGAAGCACTAGTAAGTAGAAGCAGAATAGTTAGAAGCAGTAGTAGTAGAACTGTAGTATAGTAGCAGTAGTATAGAAGAAGAAGAAGTATAGAAGCAGTAGTAGTAGACGCAGTAGTAGTAGTAGCATATATAGAAGCCTTAGTGTACAAGTATATAGAACAGTAGCATTGAAGCAGTAGTAGTATAACAGTAGTAGTAGAAGCAGTAGTAGTAGAACAGTAGTAGTAAAGCAGTAGTAGTAAAGCAGTAGTAGTAGAAGCAGTATAGTAGTAAGCAGTACAGTAGAACAAAGTAAGTAGTTACATAGTAGTAGTAGCAGTAAGTAGTAGAAGCAGTATTATAGTAGGCAGTATTAGTAGAAGCAGTAGTAGAATTAGTAAGTAGCATATATAGAAGCAGTAGTAGAGTAGCATAGTATAAAGCAGTAGTAGTAGTAGCATAGTATAGTAAGCATATAGTAGAAGCATAGTAGTAGAAATGCAGTATATTAGAAAAGCAGTAGTAGTAGAAGCATAGTAGTAGAAGCAGTATATAAAGCAGTAGTAGTAGAAGCAGTAGTAGTACAGCAGTAGTAGTAGAAGCATATAGTAAAGCATATAGTAGAACATAGTATAGAAGCAGTAGTAGTAGTAGCAGTCGTTAGAAGCAGATATAGTTAAAAGCAGTAGTAGTGGAAAAGCAGTATAGTAGAAAGCAGTAGTATAGATGAAGTCGTAGTAGAAGCAGTAGTAGTAGAAAGCATAGTAATAGAAGCAGTAGAAGTAAACATAGTAAGTAGAAGCTGTAGTAGTAGAAAGCAGTAGTAAAGTAAGTATAGCAGTAGCAGTAGTAGCAGAAGTAGTAAATCATTAGTAGTAGAAGCAGTAGTAGAAACATAGTAGTATAGCAGTAGAGTAAAGCAGTAGTTAGTAGTACTATAAGAACATAAGAAGAAGAAGAAGGAAACATAAAACGATGGAACACTGCAGAAGGCCTACTGGCCCCATGCGAGCAGGTCCAATCCCTACCGCTTAAACCAATGCACCAACCGACGTAGGTCATTCACATTGTACTTAAGGAGGAACACGCAACCGACTGTAGCACAAGTCTATCAGTCCCAGTTCACACCCTCCCACATCCACCATGTATTTATCCAACCTATGGTTAAAGCTACACAAGGGGGGGGGAACGTTCTGCCTCTATAACTGTACTCGGAGTTTTGTTCCACTCATCCACAAATCTATTACCAAACCATACTTTCCTATATCCTTCCAGAATCTAATTTTCCAACTTAAAACAAAAAACCATTGCTGCGAGTCCTGTCTAGTAGATATTTTCACACACATTACATCCCCTTTATTTTATTCCTGTCTTCCATTTA